AAAAATTTTTTTCAAGAACCTCCACCAGGGTAATGCACAATTTGAAGCGAAAAGTTCAAACCGATTTTCAAATCAAGTAAGCTTATTAAAACCGTTGTTAACGCAACCTGACCTAAACTTCTTTACACGACAATCGACTTTAGATAAATCTGTTAAAATTGCCACGAAATTGATATTTCCGTTATAATTTGAGGTTTGAAGTCTACATATGCATCAAGAATTGGCATTTTATTGTTTTTTATCTGCAATAACGATTTCCAGTGTTATATTTTCCATATTATTTGTCATAATGGAGTTCCCTCGTCGAGAGCAATAATAATGACAAATGGATCTCCCATGCTTATAATTGGCATAAGTAGCAATCAGGCAACAATTGTGAAGGTATGAGTAAATGATTTGAGCCCTGTTTAAGTTTTATCTCCAAAGTGCTTCTCAAAAACATTCTGGTCTAATTGAACAGTTGCGTGGCCTTATCAAAATATTCAATCTTTTTGAGAGTTTATCACAAAAATCTGGTCGTGAATTCGAGTGGCAATTATCCGGACAATTTTTGGACAGTTTTCGGAATGTTTTAATTAGGAACCAAATGACCTGGAAATTTTTGCTTTTTGGACAGTTTTTTCTGGGACATAAATGTCGGGGACACAAATGTCCAGACATGTGAAAAATTAGTCAAATACTTATTTAATGGAATAATGTTTGGCTATTGTCTCTCGAAAACAGGTAATTTATTTCAAAAAAAATTCTAATACCCTTACTTCAAAAACTCTTAATAGGCGGATTTGTTGGCTGCAATTCTAATCATTTAGAAAAAGCGACAAAGTTTCAAATATTTCAAAAAAAAAATTAGATTTTATTTTTGTCAAGCTGACTGCTGCAATTGAAATTTTCTGTGCTATTTGAAAAACAATCGAATACCTAGTCTGCTATTGGTTTTTATATATTAGTGAAATAAGTTCCTTCAAGTTACTGCTGCCCAAATTTCTTTGTTTGCTGATCCATGTTTGCTGAGAATAAACACTTTGCGCCGTACAGAAACAATGAAGTCAGACTTGGAAAAAAATCATAAAAAGAAGATCCAATTACACCACTGAAAATTGCTCAACACCAACAACGAAAACTGTACCTCAATCAGAAAGCAAAGTGAGAGGACCTTTTTATTTAAAATGTCGAAATATTAAGTAAACACCTCGACCAGGGATAAAAATAAATTTCTTTTTCTTTTTAAAAAGGACAGAAATTTGACAAAAAGTTATAATTGTGAACATAACTTGCCTGAGAAACGCAGTCTCAGCTCTTAAATATTCAGACCAGTTTTTCTGATCATGAGTAGTTTTTTTTATTATTAGCCCCCGCTCCTGTCCAACCGCGGGGGCCGCGGGGGAGAGAGATGTCATCCATTTTGACGCAGCCGGTCCCACCCTGAGGAGGCGGATGACTTTGGGATCCCTCCAACCGTGACCGAAGTGGGATTCGAACGCATGGCCCTCGTGTTGAGAAACGTGTGCCTAACCGTGTGATTTATGATCATGATTAGTCCCCCATTTTAGTGTAACCATTAGTAGATCATTGACTGAATAAGAGTAAGAAAACAAATTTACTTGAATAGAAGATTGCAACAAAATCCAAACAAAGCTTTTGAATCAAGGTAGTTCCTCAACCCCAGTAGAAACAGGTGTTGTTCGGAGTTACACCTAACCCTCCAGAGAGAGGTACAGAGATCACCCCGCCCCCATATACTAAAGAAGACAAGGAAAACCGCTTCCCAAGTGCAGTATCCTACTATCTCTCACACCGCTGGCCGTGTCACACGATCAAAAACTGCCTCAAATACGGACGACTAATACCTCGAGTACAGTAAAAAAAATTACCAATTGTCCCGCGGTGCGGAGTCAAAGATTTTTTTTTGTAAATATCAACATATTTTACAACATTTTCTACTTAAATTGCAAACCAGTTCTGCAAAAAACTGGGAAATACAGCTCATCTCTACAAATCATTTAGGTTTCAAATGACTCATAAGATATTGCCCGATATTACAAGTAACTCATAAGATTTATGAAAAAATATCATAGGATATTTCACGAAAAAACATAAGTTTGTACGTTTAAATTTGAATAAAATACTCAAGTTTGGTCGAGCACGGTCGAAACATATCTTGCTGGGTCGAAATATAACGGTCGAAATATAAAGTGAGCACTTCGAGTCGGGATGTAATATTATGTCAAGCGTTGGACAGTGCTGATTTGCTCTGCGAAATCAACCTGCATACTAAAGTATCTCAAACAAAAGGTTTATCAGTTTTGACATCATCGTGCGGTAAACTTAGTGTTATTGAGCCGAAAAAGCAACGATTGTTGGGGCAGGGTAAATATAGCTTTAGATAAGTTTCAAAAAAACTGGTGGCCACTAGGTCGTGATATAAGTCTACATGTTTGCTATCTCATCAACTCAAATTTCATCGAAAAATGAAATATTGAAAAAGAGAGATTTAAAATATCTTCTAAACACCCTCTGTTCCAAACGCACTGACTGTAACTAATCAAGCTATTTCAATTTCTCAACTTAATAAATTTTTTATCTGTCTTTTAGGCTATTCGGGACACCACAATTGGACAATTATTATTTTTCAACAATTCAGATGTTCAAAAGAATAATTGATTTTTGAATTCATAATTGCCATAGTTGTATTTATAAACAATCTTGGAAATTTTTTGAGTGTCTTTTTTCATAAATTTGAGAATTCTTGTTTAAATTTTTTCTTCCGACAAAGTTAGACAATTAAATTAGCCAGTTTTGATTGAAGTTCTTCAAGTAAAAACTAGGCATCTATACCTTGAGTTCAAAATTTAAAAATCATATAATTCACCTGTGATCGTTTTTCTTCAACTTATGACAGTTTGGAAGTTTTTAATTTGGCTTAACTGGAACAGCTAACGCGCAATTTATTTCGTTCTAACCACACATGAACTACACTTTATTTCGGCTCGGGAACCCTTACAATTTGATCTGAAGCAAGTTTTTTGGAACTATTAATACGTTGATGGACGCAATTTTTATCACTTTGTACCTTAAATAGCGTGTATAGGGAATATTTCAAAAGCTAAACTGAAAACTGTCAACTGAAAAAATGAACTGTGTTTTATTCCGGCTCGGAGACCCCATTCGAAACAAGATTTTGGGAAATATCAATGTTGATGGACGCAGTTTTCATCACTTAGTACCTAACATAACGTGTAGGGGGAATATTTTCAAAACAAATTGCGCTCAATTTAGTTTTTTTTGCTCAGAGAAACTTCTGCTTTTATCATCTGACTTCAAACGATACCGTAAGAAATTGATAGGTTTATAACTAAAGTATGTCCTGTTTAAGTCTCTTAGGCTTGTGTTTAAAGCGCTAGAGAATATTTACTAGAAAAGATTTCAAGGTGAACATTTGAGCTGGCTGTTTTAGTGTGAAATTGGAGGTTTGAAAAACAATTGGCATGAACATCAATTTTCCAAACATTAGTTTTTTCAAGGCTCGCCTAAATTTTGCTTCAATTTGTCACTTATTTTTATTATAAACTTGCAAGCTACCAAAATTTATTGGATAGAACTATGGGAAATTCATCCGGGAGTAAGTCGGAATTATCGTAAATACATCGCCGGTAAAGTTTTCTTGCCATAAAAGCATCCGTGCTTGAATCAGCAGCATTGTAGCAAGGCGAAACAAAACAAGACTGCTCGTATCAGGGCAAAGCCTTGAATGTTCCGACTGCCTTTTAAGGTTTATGGAGCAGCAGTAAAAACATAAAAAGTTAAATGAAATAAAAAAAAATGAAAATTTTTTTTCCAAAATTTGAAATTTTTTATGAAAATCATCCCCCCACACACCATTTAAAGTACAAAAAGATAGATTTCGTTCCTTGTAACAAATCAATTATGGCAAATAAGCTTCGTTCAACAAATTTGGAACGATTTATAAGACGGATTAAATCTCCGCTTACGCGTTAATAGCGCGAATTATATCGCGCGTTAATTGTCCCAAATTGGTCAAAATGGCCAAAATGGCAATCTTTAGACCCTCATAACTTTACGAAAAAGGATCACAGGTAAAATATCTTTTCAAATTTAGGCTCAGGACAACAATAGTTTTCGAATGATATAAGAAAATTCCATCAAAAATGGCTAGTTAAAAAGTCGAAATTTGTCTGAAGAAAAAAAAAAAACCCACCCCGAGCACAAATATTCCGTTACTTTCGTATCGAAAGTCGGAACAATAAAATAATTAGGGAATGAATAGTTTGGCGTTGTGACACACCAGCTAATATTTCTTTTTGCTGAAAAACATTTCTTCCTTTCGTTAAGTTTTTCATAACATCAATCTCATGAAAAGCAAATGGCATTAAATTTAACGGATACAACAGCCTTTTTGTAAAAAGTAACTTTAAACATATCAAACATACATGAAGTCTCGAAAAGTTGACGTTTGATACCTTCGAATTTCTAAAAACACTGCAATTTTTGACCCAAAAGTCTGTGTTTCTTTCTCAGGCGTCAAATTCGATTCAATCAATAAGGTATTTTTTCTCAAGATGTGAAGTATAACACTTGACGACTGGTGATGAAAAAAATGATAAGCTCAAAGAAGTCTGTTATCTTTTTTTTTACACTTGTAGCGAAACGAGAAAATGAGAAAACGAGAAAACTTGTAGCAAAACGAGTAATTTAAAGTATGTACTGGCTAAAAGCAAAAGTTCACTTTATTTAATTAGGGTTTCTGCAATTCGCAGAGAGTATATAAAAGGCTATCAGGCCTGTCTAACCATATTCTGTTTCTGTTATTTCCCCATATACAGACTGAGTTATTCCATACCGCAATCTTTTCCACCCCTTCGACACCCACTTCGCTTCCCCGTTTTTTTTCGTTTCTTAAATAGCTGTTAGCCTCAAATGTATAATGTCGTTTGGCAAAATTGTATCATGGGAACTGAGAAAAATATATATTCAGTGTTTTGGTGCATTAATTCCTAGTCGATAAATAAAGGGTCAATTTATCAATTATTTAGCCTGAAACTATCATGAAGTTTTTTTGCGGTTGGGCAAAGATGTCCCAAGATGGAGGGCTGTGAGAGGAAAAGTTCTTTTTGCAACTGTATAGTTCACAATTGTGTTCGCTCATCCTCTTTTGGTGTGTCAGTAGAGAATGTGCATTTTCCTGGCACTGAGTATGACGGAGAGTGTGAAACAGAGGGTGGTGAAGAGACTCATCTGCAGGATCCTGTTTCGAGGCACTTCGAAGTAGTTGTGGAAATACTGGGGCGAATAGAACATCACTCGCACCTGCTTCTCATCTGAACGAGAACACAAAACAGAAAAAAAATTATATGTTGATGCGGATTTTCTTTTTTTTTCAATAAATTTTTGTCTAATTTTCTTAAGTCGACGAAATTGACTTTCCGAACAAACCCAAACCACCATTTTCAACATTTTTTTTGTTTTCACACAAATTTGAAAAAAAAACAGACCCAAAAAAAAACGTTTTCAGGCACTTTGAAAAGTTTAGACCAAAAAAATTGTATTTTTGGGTGTGCGCTCTCTCTCTCAAAACAAGTATATGCTGGTGCCAACGAAGCTTCTAAAAAGTTTAGAGTCGGTTAGCCAAAAATTTATGTCTTAAAATAGTACCCCAGAAGACAACAAATCAGCGGTTTTTAGTTATTAAGTTTTAGTAAGTTCATGATTAAGTTTTAAAGTGACTGCTCGGTAAAATAACCTTTCTACAGATATAAATACGGGAAAATATTTTTCCGAAGCATGTTTTTCATGAGTTTTTTCGCAAATATTTCATGCTGATTGAAGCTCTTCTTTTTGCAATAGGCATCGCAATCTCGCCGAATTCTGATAACATTTTTCATTAAATTGGATTATGTTCTTTTCACGCAAGTTTTTACAGTTTATCGAATATTCAATGAACTTTGTGGTGCTAATGCTTCAATACTGCTGACTTAAATTAACCGTATACATTTTCCAAAATTCCTTCCTCTCGAATTTGGTGAAATTTGACAAAAAATGACGGATAAAAAATGATAGACATTTAGCAAGCACTTTTTTGTTGCAATTCATTTTGCTTGCGAGGTTTCAAATCAAACAAGACTGCTCGTGTCAGGACGAAGCCCTGAATGTTCCGACTGTCTTTTAATGTTTAATAAAATGTATTAAAAATGAAAAAAAAAATTCAAAAATTCAAAATTTTTCATTTTTTTTAAAAATGAAAAAAAAAAAATTCAAAAATTCGAAATTTTTTATGAAAATTATCCCCCCACACGCCATATAAAGTACAAAATGATAGAATTTGCTTCTTGCAACAAATCAATTATGGCAAATAAGCTTCTTCCAACTAATTTGGAACGATTTCTAAGACGGATTAAATCTCCGCTTACGCGTTAATAGCGCGAATTATATCGCGCGTTAATTGTCCCAAATTGGTCAAAATGGCAATCTTTAAACCCTCATAACTTCACGAAAAATGATCACAGGTGAAATATTTTTTCAAATATAAGCTCAGGACAACAATAGCTTTCGAATGATATTAAAAAATTCCGTCAAAAATGGCTAGTTAAAAAGTCGAAATTTCTCTGAAGAAAAAAAAACCCACCCCGAGCACAAATATTCCGCTACTTACGTATCGAAAGTCGGAACAATAACACAACTCAAATGGGTCAATTCTTTAACTTTATATTTAAGGATAGGAAAAGGGTAAATTATGTTAAAAGAACTACAAATGAGCTTGTTCTCTCCTAAATTGGAACCAAATGAATTCGCCCAATTTAGTGTTAATTTGGTTTGAATTGATATTTTTCCCATCAGTTTTATTTTGCCAAACATCACCAAGTTTTAGAAACACGAGTGTGAAATCTTGTCTTATTTCGTTTGATCCGTTTTTTTAAAAATCATTATAAAAGCTTGTTCAGCACAAAATGCATTGAAAATTCGATGAACTGTTAAAAACATGCGTTAACAAAAAAATTTCGGCTCATGAAAAATATTATCAGAATATGGTGACATTTTGCTGTTTATTGCAAAACAATGGCTTCAGTTACCCAAAAATTTGTGATACAAGAAAGGTTTTGAGAAAAGGTTCTAAAATTATCTTGTTGTTTGTTTCAATCTGGGCATGATTTAAATCTTTTCAGTCGATCGTATTAGTTTTCCGAGCTACCGGGTTGAATTTAAAAAAATCAAGCGATGTAAGCCATCGAGGTAAACAACATAACCCATGAAGCGTGGTGAGGTATAAAAAAGCGCAAACTTTTCGGTTCCAATTTCGCAAGAATTTGTTATATGTTTGAAAAAAATGGTTTTTTCACATTTTAAAATGGAAACTCAGAAAGTTACGAACAGCAAAAATTGCAAAATTTTTTTGACTGAAAAAAAAAATCTGCTGCACTTTTTGACAAGAAGCTAATTAAAATTCTTTTTTTGCTTATTCTATGGAATTCATAAGTTCTTGATAAAACGAATGACAGTTGTTTCTTTTTAAAGTATCAGCTTTCAGTGCGTTAGAAGTTACAACTAGCATAGAAGGTTCCGACCCAGAGTCCTGAAAACATTTTTCTAAAAATGTTGTTTTTTTGCAAGTAGCGAGAAAAAAAATCAGCCTGTAAAAATTGTTGCAATTCGCTACAAAACCAAAAATTATAATTTACTAAGAAAAACATTTTTTCAAATAAAGTTTATTTAGAAGATATGAGCGTTTTGAAGTTTTCATGCAGAGATAGTGCTCCATGGTTTTTAAACAACTGCTTATTAATGCTTGTAATCTGTTATTGCAATTGAAATTACGGCTAGAGACCCAGTTTCATCCAAAAAATGTAATGTTGCTCTATTAAATAATAAGTAAAACTTTTTGTGACTTTGGAATTTTCCCAGAGAATTTTCCTACATATTTTAAGGCGTAGTATTTTATGCGCGGAGCCTTTCCACAACTTGTTGTCTCAATTAAACCCTTAATATCAGATTGAGTTGTTCTCGAGAACAGTCAAAAAATTTCAAAAAACGGACGACAAATCAAAACATTGACTTTGAAGGCCATTGAAGGCCATAACGTTTTTGCTAAAAAAAAGTTGGACAAGATTGCTTGCACGGAAAGTTTCTCTCAACTTTTTTTCTAATAAACTCAAAATCTCAGAGCTCGGAGGGTAGTTTTGCGAAAAATCAAAAGGCTTCAGGAAACGGCAAAAAATCGAAAATTTGAACGATCCGGGGCTCATAAATTTTTGTGTAAAAAAAACTGGTCGTCATCGCTTGTGCGAGTGTGCTTCTTAAAATCCGTTTTACTCATTGAAGTCAAATTTTCAGATTTGGGTGGGTTGTTTTTGAGAAAAGCCAAAAAATTTCAAAAAACTTTCGACAAATTGATAAATTGTACTTTTCCGAGCCAAAGTTTGTTGTGCAAAAAAAATTAGTTTGTGCGTAACCACTAATGCAGCGGAGGGTTTCACAACCAACAAATTGAAAACTTGACCTTTCTGAAGGCCATAAAAATTTGAATTTTGTATTTAAAAAAATTGGGCATAGCCGTTGATGTAAGCCAGGGTCTAGAAACGCGTTCCTTTGATTTAAATCAAATTCTCAAGTTTGGGAAGGTTGCATATGAGAAAATGTAAAGATATTTAAAAACATTTGTGTCAAAATTTCACCCCACACATTTTTCCGGAGGCTGCGGAAAGTGGTTTAAGGTAAAAAGAGACTAGGGGATTATGCAAACACACAGGGTAAATGGTGGTTTTCCCGTTGGTATCACTTTATCGGAAATTGGATGATAACTGTCTGAGAAAAATCAAGTTTTTGTAAAAAGTGAAAAAATTTTCCAATGCGCCTCAAAAAAAATCCCAGTCCCATACATTTTTTTTCCAGAATACGTGTTTCTAACAAACACGAACTGTAGGCGCAGATAAAGTTGGAGGTACTAGTTTGATAACTTTTGAATTTGTTTTGCTGATTCGGGATGAAGTAGGTAATCTCAAAAATTTTAGAATTCGTGTTTTCATTATTTTTGCTGAAACTTCAAGGCAAAGCATCTTATGCACGGAGGTTTCTCACAACCTGAACCCTTGATGTCAGCTTGAGATGCTTCGAGAGGTCAAAATGTTTTAGAAAAAGGACAAGATTTCAAAACAATGACTTCTCAGAAGGTCAAAAATTTTTGTGTTCAAAAACGTTGACTTAATTGTTTATGCATGGGAGATTCACACAAGTCTTTCTACCCATTCGAACCAATATCTCAGATTAGGGAGTTTAGATTTTGAGAAAAGTCCGAAAGTGTCAAAAAACGGTCCAAAATTCAAAAATTTGACCTTTCCGAGGGTTTTTTTTTGTGTACAAAAACTTGGGCGTAACTGCTGATGCAAAAGAGTCTCTCAAACCCATTCTACCCATTGAAAACAAAAACCTGAGATTTGGGTGGGCAGTTTTCGACAAGTTTCGAAAAGGATCAGAAAATTTGACTTTTCCGAGGATCATAACTTTTTATTCAAATGAATTGGGGTGTAACCGCTTAAGCAAAGAAGCTCCTCACAGCTCGTTTTGACAATGAAACAAGAATTTCAGATTAAAGAGCATAGTTTTTGAGAAAAAAAATCTAAAAAAAAATTGAAAAAACGGCCAAAAAACCTAAAGTTTGATTTTTTGAGTGCCAGATCTTTTTGTGTTGAAGAATTGGACGTAAAAAATTATGCATGCGAGCTTCCCACAACCCGTTCTACCCATTGAAACCAAAATTTAAGGTTCTGGAGAGTAGCTTTTGAGAAAGTCAATGTTTCGAAAAACGGTCAAAAAATCGAAATTTTGTTGACCGATTCTTTCGATTTTTTTTTCAAGAGCCATAAATTTTTGTGTAAAAAAGTTTGAGTGCAGCCGGTAATGCCGAAAAATTTCCCCATTTTGTTCTCTCCATTGAAATCAAAGTCTCAGATTTGGAGGGTAATTTTTGAGAAAGTGTACAAAAAACCAAAAATATTTGTCAGTTTTTCCCCCTTACACTTTTTCGAAGGCTGTATAAAACGGGGTAAGGTAAAGAGAGCCCAGGAAATATGCAGGCACACAGAAGAGTGGTCGGACATCCCATTGGTACTACTTTTTTTGAAAATCGTTTCAAGAGTTTTTGAGACAAACTTTTTTTTTGAAAGAGTGAAAAAAACTTTCAAAGCGTCTTAAAAAAAAACCCAATCCCATACATTTTGACAAACCTGTTTTAATCAAACAGAAGCATAAATTTTTTCAATGAGATCTTCAACCAAGTCTGACACTAATTTCAGTTACCAGATTTTAGGTGAAAAAACAGAACCGAATGATCATTAGGCTTATATAGACCAACTTTGGTCTTGTTTTATGAAGCCATTTTTGAGTGATCTGCCCTAAAAATTTTTAGTTGCCTTGGAAGCCAAATTTTACTTTTCGAAAGAAAAACGCACACCGAAAAACCGCAGTTTTTGGTCCAGATCATCCAGAAAAGCTGAAAAACGGTTTTATCTTCCAAAAATAGCCGGCGACAGGAGCGGATTTAGGGCGGGTGGGCAGACGCCTCTCCCTCTCGCCCCTCGGGGATTCGACCCCCTGCCGAGCCAAAGGGTCCCCCTTTGGTATTTTTTACGAAACTCATTTTTGGCCGACCGACCCTAAAATTTTTCTAAAGGCGCCTTTGGCACCAATATAACTTATTTTGAGGGGAGGCCGGGCGCTTTTTGGTTAAAATTTTCCAAAAAGTGCCTAAAAACGCGTTTTTTGGACTATTTTTTCAAAATTTTGCCTGCGGCGCAGAAAATTTGACCAAAACAGGGACTAAACCGGGCTTATTGAGAGCTCAAAAAATCATTTCGGTCGACCTAAAAAAAAGGTCGAAAAAGTTTTCGAAAATTTTTTTTTGAAATCCCCCCCTCGAGAAAATCCTAGATCCGCCCCTGGCCGGCGATATAAATCTTTTTTGCCAAAGATTGTCCTTTAATATGATTTTCGTTCATTTTTTTCAGCAATAGCTGGCCTATAAAGGGACAACTTTTTCAAAATCCATGTCAAAAAAAATTTAGCGCAAGCTACTGCTTCTCATCCAAATGCTAAGGTAACTTCAGGATAAAGTTTTTCTCGATCAAGTTTTTTTGACTGAATGTGAGTTCAGCGTAAGATTTTGATTATTATTGAAAATAAACTTCAGGTTTTTTGTCAAAGCAACATCATAAAAAGCTTTCAAAAGTAGATCTTAAATCTCAAATTACCTTCATCAAACAATGCCATGTATTGAATGACATCCGGCAGAATCCTATCCGGAAGGCACGTGGCGACACTCAAGTCTGCAAACACGTCTGGTGTCAGATCGTCAAAATTATTGTGCAAGCCATGCAACCGCTGTGACGTAATAGTTACAGGTACCATAAAAGGAGATCTGATGAACATCTTCATGTTTCGCATGAACAAAACGAAACAAATCACGTGTAGTATCATCAAACTGAGCATTGTATAAAGAATGAAAAAATCGAGCCAAAATGTTTGAGAGTAGGCGACGATAACCATCATTAAAGGGGGAGACATTCCACAGAACCATCCAATGAAAAGGGCGACCAGGTTTTGGAAGTTTCTTTTTTCGAATCGCGATGAAAGATGCCTGGATCGGACGCCCCCAAAAGGCAAAAGGCGACTCATCTTTTTCCGCTTCATCTGAAATTAAAAAAGACACCCTGCTTGATGTGTTTCAGCACAAAAATCGGGAACTAAAAATCATTTGTCTCCGAAATCAGACGCAATTTTGATTCTTTACTGAGGAAAGCTAATAAAGCCAAACCAAAACCCTTCTTTTTCTTGGATACAGCTGTGGTAAAATGACAAAAATTTGTTCTTATCAATGCTACACTAATTTTGCAAAGCAGAAGCTCAAAAGGAGAATTTTAAAATTGGCTCGTGGCTACATCGGAGAAAATGGATATCATAAGTTGCCAAGTACTTCTCGGATTTCTTTATGCGGGAAAATTTCTCTGTTCTGCTCTTTGAAATTTTTACCTACAATTTTCTCAAAATTTTTAAATGAACTCAAAGCGATCTTTCAATTATCTCAAAATTCTTAGGGCTCCTATACCCTTATATTTATTCTTTAACCCGATGGTTTTTTTTAGTCAACATCCCTTATCCTGAGAAAAATGAATCGCTTAAACTGTTTTACTCGAAACTTCACTGTGATTTTAGATGTAACAATGCACCCTGAGATTGTATGCGTTGAGTTTGATGACGAGGTTGAAGTTGTTGACGGCGAAGTCGTGCCTGTTGTAGAGTCCCCTCTGCACCTCACTCTCCTCCCCCCTCCCGTCCAGGGCCACTGTGTGTCTCCCGTGCAGCAACTCCGCGTGCTCCGCCTCCGAATCCGAGAAAGTGGAGTCGTCCGAGTCTAGAGAAACAATCATAGTAATTGGTAATCGTTTTCAAATACGTTTGACATAATGGTGGGATCTTTTTAAATCTGAACCCCGCCTCAGTTCAATTAATTTGATCAATGATTTTTTTTGGGAGGGGAGTTCGATGCGTTGAAACTTTCAAAATCAATGAGCGCAACAGATCGCGCGTAAATTATCCCAAGTTGTTGATTGTCGATTGAAAAGTGTCAATTTAGGATAATAAAAATCATAATAAAAAATTGTTTCCAAACGATATCTAGTTACAGAGTTATTTATAAAAAAGTATAAATATAATCTAGTTAACTTCTTCGATCCAATACAATGGACTTTCTACCGGTAAATATTTGTTTAACGTAAACCTATTCATTGCACCTTACAACCAACCTCTACAAGAAAATAATTTTATTTTTTGTTTTCTCGGGTAGTCTTTTCTACCGACAACATAGAAACCAACGAAACAAATTCTAAATATTGAGCAAAAAAATGTCTCAAAGCATGCCCAGTAAAACCGTTTTGCTGGGCATGCCTAGAATGTAATTATCCAAAATGTAATTAACCTAGAATGTAATTATCCAAAAATTCAACATTAAAAGTATTCAATTGAAGCCGAGAAGCCCCAATCAAGAATTTGACCGAAGCGGGAAAAAATTTACATCAAATTAAACGCTTTTTTAAATTTTAGGTGTAACCGAACCTCTGTTGAGTTTATTTCTATATAAAGCTAAATTTTGATTTGTTTTTTTTTTGAAAATATCACGTTTAACTCTTGTTCAGTAATGTATTATCTCAATGGATCAATTTGGCAATCTTTTCGAATAATTTTCACGTTAATTTCAAAACTTTGTACGCAAAAAACTCTCTTACAGTATATATTTTTTTCATGCATTGTTTCGGTGATTGAATCCATTCTGTGTTTATAAATTTTTTGATTAGCCTTCTGATTTTCATTTCTAGTTCTAACAGTTTGTTTTTGTCAGTATTTGCATAAACTAAAGCTCCATATTGGATGATTACTTTTATACGCAAATATTGACTGCTGTCAAGCTAGAAAATTTCTCAATTGAAAAAACACTCCGCAGCATCGCAAAATTTTTTTTTATTTTATCAATATGCTGATGAAATTTCAATTTACAGTCAAGGTGAGTTCCAAGATATTTAAAACGATCTACATCTTCTATTTTGTTGTGATTTAAAAAATACTCTACAGGTCTATTTTCATTTTTTTGGTCCGGCAGTGGCTCATGGTCTTTGTTTTTTTTGACATTTAGTGTCAATTTGTTCTTTTCTAACCAATCGTTTACTTCAAGCAAAGCTGATTGATGTGCAAGAGCAATATAGTCTTTGTTGTTTGTGGATTTCAGAACAGTGTCATTAGCATACAAAAGTACTTCTTTATTTTTTTTTTTTTGTGGCTATTTGAAGATCGTTTATGTGAAATATGAAAAAAAGTGGGCCAAAGATAGATTCCTGAGGTACATCAAAAGATACCAGTTTAAGTTTGGTCTTTCAAAAGTTGCTTTCAATGCACTGATAGCGATTGCCAAGGTAAGATTCCAAAAGTTTTAAGACAGGCCCTCTGAATTCCATAAGTTTTAATTTTATTAGCAGATTAGAGTAATCAACCGTGTCAAAAGCCTTTGTTAGGTCTAAAAAATGATTCTATACAGTTAGTTTTTTGTACGATAGCGATGTTGAATTTTCTTCTAACAATGTAAGGATGGCGTCAACAGTGCTCTTTTTCGATCTGAAGCCAAACGAGTGTTTTGGATGATATCAAACTTGTCTACATATGTTAAGGCTCGTCTGAAATTAAAGCACTGAAAACTTTTTCCCAAAACTGGAAGAAGCGATTGGTCTATAGTCTGAGGGGTCATCAGTTTTTCCTTCCTTGAAAATTGGTACATTTCTTGAGTTTTCTAAACAATTTGGGCAGTTTACTGGTGTTAGGCAGTCATTAGGAATTTCAGTAAATGTGCCCGCTAGTCTAACTTTTAAATGCTTGACGAGAACAGTGTTGATATCATAGCAATCCGTACTATATCTATTTTATAGACTTTCGATGACTTCAATGCTTTCAATTAAATCATTTTTTTTTCAAAAATAACGATTGCTGCTGACGGATAACATTAATTTCCATGCAAGTTGGTTTGCTTTGTGTAACTCTGGCGCCAATATTTGCAAAGTATTCGTTAAATTTCTCAGTGTCCTCCTTAGACAGATTTAGCGACTTGGAAAATTTCTCTTTGCCTCTCAATTCTAGGAAAGATTTTAAAAAATTTTGTTCTAGAATTAGAATCAAGCGTTAATTTATTTTGATAGTATTTTCGTTTTTCTACGGATGATTAGGTTTTTGACCATTCTATTTAAAAAAATTATATATCTGTTCCGGGCATCCGTTGTCTTAACATTCAAACTTTTTTGTCGTAACCGCCGCTTTTTTAGGCAGTTTTTTTTTCACTTCATTGTCAATCCATGGATGCTTTTCTGATTGTACTAGTAATCGCTTTGAAAAAAAACGTATCAACTGCTTTCATAAGGATCAAATTTATTTTTTCTAAAATCCAAGAAGACGTTTGCGGGTCCTCGGAATTCGATACCTCATGGTGCAAAAAAAAACATAATGTCTCACTTATCTCCCTTTCTTAAACTTGCTTCAGTTTCTAGAGGAATTTTTTCATTAAAAACATCCTTTTTCAGGAAATTTAAGAAAAATTGAACATCAAAATTATCAGACATTGATTTTTTGATAATTTTGGTTGAGAAACTGAATGGCCAGAAAAAAAGTTAATCAATGTGCTACTATGTTCTGTCACTCTTGTTGGGAGGCAGCCCGTTTTGTTTCCTAAAAGGTCATTTCCCATCATAATATCCTCCATTTTCATTCGACTTGTCGAATTTAACAGAAAATTTACAATGAAATCAGCACAAACTATGTGTTCAATTTCAAGCTCTAGCGTTATTCGATCCAAATAGTTTTGCAGGCTTTCAAAAGCATCGTTGCTTAGAGAATTTGATGGAATGTAAATACAGGTTACTAAAATTTTCTGATTTAATTGAATTTTAATGAGCTCTGGCAAGATTCGAATATTGGTATGTTTTTTTGTTTTGTTAGACTATGGTCTGTCCCGGTGTTAACATAGATGCCAAAACCTCTTCCTCGTTTCACTCTAACGCAACTATGGAGAGGTTGGTATCGTTGATTTTGGAAGATATCATTGTCAGAGTTTTTTATCCAGGTTTCAGTTAAACAGATGATTTGTGGACGTTGGGCCAACTTCTCTGCTTCTAATTGAAATTCTTCAAAGTTTCGGGGCAGAGATCTGATATTTTGTAAAAACACTGAAAAACTTTTAGAGTCTGTTTCCTTTTTGTCTCTGTTCACCATATGTTTTGTGTAGCATTATTTTCGCGTGGTTTCTTAACTTGTTGAAATGTACTTATTTTTTGTGAAGATCTTGTTTTTTTAAATTAATGCTTTCTAACTACAAAAACTTTTATAGCTATGAAAGCAGCGCAAAATGCCACTATGAGCTGTCAGAAATCAGAAATCACCTAGAGGAGTGCGGAAAATGCACAAACTCTAGGTGGTTTCACCTCCTAGTCTAAAAAATTTTTTTCTTCGCTATAATACTAATACTGCTCTTTTTTAAATTTGCTTCCCCAATAAGATTCTCGCCTCCTTTTTTTCCTTTTTAATTTTCATCCTTATCCATTTTCCTGTAGTTTTTTTACGCAGCTCTGGGAACTAATAAAGCATAATAGTTTTCTTTTGAGTTTGTTCTAATTTTATTATTAAAAAAATTAACGGGCTATTTGCTGCGTTCAAAATAGATCGCGTCTTCAATACTAAGTTCCAGGCTTCAAAATCTTTTAAATAATACTGAAAATCCTCTCAAAATTGAGTAAAAGTATTTTGTCATTTCTTACCGCATCAAAAAAGACTTGGATACAACCTGATGCATTTCCAGTTCAATCTCGTTATAGAGTTCCAAATTCCCGTGAAACTTTTGATATACATTTGAATATTTTTTCTAAATTTCGTTGTTTTTATTTCACTAATCGTGCATGTATAATCCGACCCTATGCCACCTCAAAATTACTCGTATGATATTGAGTTTAGCATCATACTAAAATCTTTAATTTAGTCTTCGATTGTTAAGACGTAGAGTATAATAAAAAAAATTTAATCGAAATAAAAGGAAAAATGTTTGAAGAAATTTTTGTTCTGACTTTTGTAACGAAAGTAACGGAATATTTGTGCTCGGGAGGGTTTTTTTTCTTCAGACAAATTTCGACTCTTTAACTAGCCATTTTTGACAAATTTTTTTATATCATTCAAAGTTTATTGTTGTCCTGAGCTTAAATGTGAAAAGATATTTACCTGCCTGAGATCGTTTTTTGTTTATGGGGGCTTAAAGATGATGGGGGTTTGAAGTTTATGGGGGTTTGAAGTTTATGGTGGTTTGAATATTGCTATTTTGGCCAAACCGGGACAATTAGGGCGCGATATAATTAAGCTATTAACGCGTAAGCGGAGAGTTAATCACTCTTAAAAATTGTTCCAAATTGGTTAAAGGAAGCTTATTTGCCATAATTGAACTGTTACTAGGAGCGAAATCTAACACTTTGTATATTAAATGGGGGATAATTTTTCGGAAAAAAAAACTGAAATTAAAAAAATTTTTGTCATTTCATTTTATTACCTTTAATTTTTTTCTTATTACTGCTCAATAGATATTAAAAGGCAGTCGGAACTTTTAGGTCTTTTCCCAGATACGACAGCAGTCTTGTGTTCCTTTTGATTTCTTCTTGAGTTTTGTGTAGAATGTTCACGTGGTATTTTGCTTAACATTTCAGCAGGATTATAATGGGGCAATTTGTTTTGCAAAACTCTGATTTAAAGTTAAGCCCCAGAAACGATCATTATCGGTTTTTAGTCAATCAAAAACTGCGCCAAAAAATGGTTTAATTGCTGGCAAAATTATACCAGAATGAGCCTCTTGCATAACTCAACAAAATTTTCAAAAATACGAAAGTTGTTTTTAGATAAAAATTGGTGTAATTATTGATTGACTATAATGAACCGAAAGCCGTCGTTTTTAATTTGGAGTTAACTTTTGGACTCGACTTTCGCAAAAGATATTGCACCATTTTATTTCTGCTGAAAATCTCAGCAAGTCTTAGTTTTTTTTATCTTTTAATTTTTGTCCAACCCATCTGAGAAAAACGCTTTTCAAAGTTAATGTTTTTTGTCGGATAAAATAAATCAGCACTGTACCACCCGAGAAATAAATTGTGAGAGAGAAAAAAAGTTCTCTCACAGCCTGCAACTGATTTTATTTATTTGATCGTTGATAGTTCGATATAAAACTTACTCTTGGCTTGTTTTATCTTTTTTTAAAAAAAATATTTAGGATTGCTCAGAATCCTTTTTACTATTGAAACTGAGAGTTTTTGAGGTTTTTCTAACAAAATTTTTACCTAAGACCGGATCTAGGGTTTTCTCGAAGAGAGAGATATAAGAAAATTTAATTCACACTTTTTCTAATTCAACCAAACTACCTAACTTATAACCTTGTTTGAACTTGAGTTCTCTTATGTCACTACAAAGACCAGATTTGAATTCATTTCACCGAACTCTCTGCGCCGCTGACAAATCATGTGTTTTTGAAAATACAAGTCAAAACGAGCGTTTTATGCGCTTTTTGGAAAAAGTTGACCACAAAATGGCGTTTTTTTGCCTTTAAAAATATATCAAAACAATGAATGTGATTTTTATTTGAAGCTGATATTAAATTGTGTTAAAAAGATATTGCGAAACTGCAAAAACAATACTTCTCTAATAAATCCGAATAACGCTGTCAAGTTTCAAATTAGGGGCTAGCAAGTTCGCGTAATGTTATCAGAAACAGTCGCAACATGTTCTCCGTCGCTAAATTTTTTGGTCGCAATATGCTTTTTTCGGACATTGTTCTGACTGGTATTAGGTTAGCTTAACACGTGGGGTCATTTAAGCTAATAAACAACAATAAATTTGCGGCGAAAAAAATATTGGCGAAGATGAAAAAATTGGCGGCCTAAAAGAGTGATTGATTTATTTCACTTGCGAGAGCAATAGACTTAGAAAATAGACTTTTTTCACTTAAGCAATTTTTCTTACACATTTTTGCTTCATTTCTTCTGACATGCTCAATTTCATGAAAATTCAAAAGCAACTAATTTTTAATTCATTTGAGACTGTATTTAACTTTTTCAATTATAGGTATTCAAAAACTGTTATAATTTTTGTGAATTTTGTTCTAATTTCGTCAGCTGATTTTTCGTTTTTTTTTCGGAATTTTTTTATGTGGTACGCTTTTCAAACAAGTTTTGTTTTCAAATCTCAGTTTTTTTCAAGTTTTTCTTTTGAACACTTCCTGTTTGATAAAAACAAGTATTATAAAAACGTATGAGTTTTGCTTTTTTAAAAACTTTTTTTTGAGACGACTTGGATTTTTTTGTTCTTCTCTTCTAATAAACTACCGTACCATTTTTCGTAAAAACGATTTCGATTGAAAAACCACCTACTCCCCCTATCTGCCTGCATAAATCCCGTAGTTTTTTCCTGTATCTCACTTACTGCAGCCTACGAAAAACTGTGTGGGAGGAATTTTCGACACAATTTTTTTTTTAGAATTTTCAAACATTTTTCAATAACTACACACCAAATATGAGATTTCGGGTTCAATGGAAAGCATGGGTTGTGGAAAACTACCCGGCATAAGCGGCTACCTCCTAAAGTTGTTTCTCAAAAAAATATCGCACTCAGAAAAGTCATTTTATTTCATTTTTTGGTTTGTTGACAGTTTGCTGAAGCTTTGTTTGTCTCAAAAGCCTTTTCCCAAGTCCGAAACTATTGAGTTTGATAGAAAAATGATTTTTAGAAAACTATTCTGCATAAACGGCTACGCCAACGTTTTTTTTTTTTCACAAAAAATAATGACACTCAGAAAGTTCAAACTTTTGTTGCTTTTTTTGTTTGTAATTTTTGAAGAATATTTTTGTACCATTAAAAAGAAATGAATATCCTGGGTTCAAAATTAAAACGATAATCTTTTGCCGGTGATAATTTTTCGTCACATCATTAACGTTTGAAACTGACCTTTTCAAAATGTTTTGCTTCTAAATTTTTCACAACAAATGAATTCAAAAAATGAAATAGCCCAAAAATGTTGTCAAAGTTCGCGACAACCGATATTTTGTGACCCAATTTGTCGCAATTATCCCAAACGGTTTTCTTATTAAGGTTTTTCGAATTTTTCACTGAACTTGAATTTTGGTTGACGTCGAAGTTTCGTTTTTTCATTTTTTTACCTGGATGGGTGTTGACCTGTAGATTGGGACTGTACTCATTTGTAAGTCCTCGCTGTGCGTAGGACGCCATAATTACAACACTGAAGATATTGTAACGGATATGGAAAGCAAAATATTGCAAAATTTTAGAATTTTTGTAACCTAACTAGAGCTATAAGTTCTTTCCATAATCTGAACACTAATTTGAATGATCAGTAAACAGGAAGCTGATATGCGTTTTTATCAATTTATTAAGTTCAATTATTCCGGTTTTCAAGTGATTTGCCGAAAAGATAAGGCAAATGAGTTTCATTTAGAGTGGCTCAAAGTTCAAATAGAGATTGCAAGTCCAGACTCAACTTTTCGAAAGCATGGTGCGATGTTTTGAATGGCGTTTAGGACAATCATATTGAGAGCAACTGACTGGCGTTCAAGATCATGGCAGCCCAATTATATGCTTCGAAACTAGTTATGAGCAAGATTCTTAAGTACTTTGGCGTGATATCGACATTTAGACAGAAATCTATATCAATTCCACACTGAATTGAGTATATCTTGATTTGTATAGTGATGTCAAAGTAGTATATCACTATGGTGTTATGATGATGCTAGCTAAAACCATGAACTAATATTAGTTGTGGCTTTATAACTAAACCGATGATCGCGATGATTGCTCATTCAACGAAATGATGTCTGTGAACTAACATTTAAAACGGATCATTTCCCCTGAGATAATCAAACTATTTGGAAACCATGATTCTGTGGAGTGGGTTTTATTTAAATAAACAGTCAAAGGCTTAATCTGGAAGTCAATTATTTAGGTTGACAAGAACTCACTTAACTAGAGCCCATTAGGCGAACCATGGCTTGCAAGATTTCACTCTACGAATTGCAGCGTTCGTGTGATTTGAACCAACAACCATGTGATTGCTACAACATCATTATACCCGTGAAGCGATAATTCGGGGACCGTTCCTCTCGTGCTGGATGTGAGGATAATGGATCAGGAGGGGGGAAGGGGTGTATGCGGTCTCCCATGTATTGGAATAGGCTATAGATTTCCAGTGTCGCAAAAATTTACTGAAAAAATGGGTCGAAAACTTTTTAATCAAAATTTTTTTTGTATTCGACAAAAAGTCTTACTTAAACATCTCAAAATTCTGGACTATTTTACTCATTTTAAAAAATTTTTATACAGTGCGCTTATCAATATTGATATAATTTGTCGAAAGATTCTTTTTAGCCCATTGTTGAAAGAAAGATATCCAAAAACTTGTAGCATTTTTTACTTTGTAGTCAAAACTTTTGATTATTTTTTTAAAGAATTCCTTTTTTGCGCCATTTTATAAGATCTAGTTTTTGTTAACAGAACGGTAATTTAAGTTACTTTTTCTTGAACAATTTTTTCTCTAAAAATGGACTTCCCTCAAAATAGTATATTTTCAAATCTTCAGCCAAATTCCTTAAATTTGGTATAATCGTGATTCCACCATCATTAGCGAAGTATTCTTGGATCTATCTTGTAAAATAAAAAGAAAAAGCGTCATTTTTCTTGCGATATTTTCTAACTAATTATTACAAAAACCTAAAAATCTGCCTGCATAAATCCCGTAGTTTTTTCCTGTATCTCACTTACTGCAGCCTACGAAAAACTGTGTGGGAGGAATTTTCGACACAATTTTTTTTTAGAATTTTCAAACATTTTTCAATAACTACACAACCAAATATGAGATTTCGGGTTCAATGGAAAGCATGGGTTGTGGAAAACTACCCGGCATAAGCGGCTACCTCCTAAAGTTGTTTCTCAAAAAAATATCGCACTCAGAAAAGTCATTTTATTTCATTTTTTTTTGGTTTGTTGACAGTTTGCTGAAGCTTTGTTTGTCTCAAAAGCCTTTTCCCAAGTCCGAAACTATTGAGTTTGATAGAAAAATGATTTTTAGAAAACTATTCTGCATAAACGGCTACGCCAACGTTTTTTTTTTTCACAAAAAATAATGACACTCAGAAAGTTCAAACTTTTGTTGCTTTTTTTGTTTGTAATTTTTGAAGAATATTTTTGTACCATTAAAAAGAAATGAATATCCTGGGTTCAAAATTAAAACGATAATCTTTTGCCGGTGATAATTTTTCGTCACATCATTAACGTTTGAAACTGACCTTTTCAAAATGTTTTGCTTCTAAATTTTTCACAACAAATGAATTCAAAAAATGAAATAGCCCAAAAATGTTGTCAAAGTTCGCGACAACCGATATTTTGTGACCCAATTTGTCGCAATTATCCCAAACGGTTTTCTTTTTAAGGTTTTTCGAATTTTTCACTGAACTTGAATTTTGGTTGACGTCGAAGTTTCGTTTTTTCATTTTTTTACCTGGATGGGTGTTGACCTGTAGATTGGGACTGTACTCATTTGTAAGTCCTCGCTGTGCGTAGGACGCCATAATTACAACACTGAAGATATTGTAACGGATATGGAAAGCAAAATATTGCAAAATTTTAGAATTTTTGTAACCTAATTAGAGCTATAAGTTCTTTCCATAATCTGAACACTAATTTGAATGATCAGTAAACAGGAAGCTGATATGCGTTTTTATCAATTTATTAAGTTCAATTATTCCGGTTTTCAAGTGATTTGCCGAAAAGATAAGGCAAATGAGTTTCATTTAGAGTGGCTCAAAGTTCAAATAGAGATTGCAAGTCCAGACTCAACTTTTCGAAAGCATGGTGCGATGTTTTGAATGGCGTTTAGGACAATCATATTGAGAGCAACTGACTGGCGTTCAAGATCATGGCAGCCCAATTATATGCTTCGAAACTAGTTATGAGCAAGATTCTTAAGTACTTTGGCGTGATATCGACATTTAGACAGAAATCTATATCAACTCCACACTGAATTGAGTATATCTTGATTTGTATAGTGATGTCAAAGTAGTATATCACTATGGTGTTATGATGATGCTAGCTAAAACCATGAACTAATATTAGTTGTGGCTTTATAACAAACCGATGATCGCGATGATTGCTCATTCAACGAAATGGTGTCTGTGAACTAACATTTAAAATTGATCATTTCCCCTGAGATAATCAAACTGCTTGGAAACCATGATTCTGTGGAGTGGGTTTTATTTAAATAAACAGTCAAAGGCTTAATCTGGAAGTCAATTATTTAGGTTGACAAGAAATCACTTAACTAGAGCCCATTAGGCGAACCATGGCTTGCAAGATTTCACTCTACGAATTGCAGCGTTCGTGTGATTTGAACCAACAACCATGTGATTGCTACAACATCATTATACCCGTGAAGCGATAATTCGGGGACCGTTCCTCTCGTGCTGGATGTGAGGATAATGGATCAGGAGGGGGGAAGGGGTGTATGCGGTCTCCCATGTATTGGAATAGGCTATAGATTTCCAGTGTCGCAAAAATTTACTGAAAAAATGGGTCGAAAACTTTTTAATCAAAATTTTTTTTGTATTCGACAAAAAGTCTTACTTAAACATCTCAAAATTCTGGACTATTTTACTCATTTTAAAAAATTTTTATACAGTGCGCTTATCAATATTGATATAATTTGTCGAAAGATTCTTTTTAGCCCATTGTTGAAAGAAAGATATCCAAAAACTTGTAGCATTTTTTACTTTGTAGTCAAAACTTTTGATTATTTTTTTAAAGAATTCCTTTTTTGCGCCATTTTATAAGATCTAGTTTTTGTTAACAGAACGGTAATTTAAGTTACTTTTTCTTGAACAATTTTTTCTCTAAAAATGGACTTCCCTCAAAATAGTATATTTTCAAATCTTCAGCCAAATTCCTTAAATTTGGTATAATCGTGATTCCACCATCATTAGCGAAGTATTCTTGGATCTATCTTGTAAAATAAAAAGAAAAAGCGTCATTTTTCTTGCGATATTTTCTAACTAATTATTACAAAAACCTAAAAATCTGGCACTTTTAACACCACTGAAAAAGCGATTGAAAAGAAGAATTGCCGTTTGCTGATCAAGTTGCACAGAGGAACCCTACCATAGTAAAAAAAAATTTGTAGGGTCTCAAATTCTGCACAAATTAGGCATTATAACTGTTGTAAGCTTTTCCAATTCCTTTTTTCGCTCAATTAATGCAAAAAATTAAAAATTTCAAACCGGTTTTTCTCGACACCAGAAAAAAAATTGGGACTTTTTAATGTGGTTCAAATCACGACTGAAAAGGCAAATGCTTTAAAACGATATATCACTCAACCCAGTTCATTGATTATGAGTGGTACCTGGTTTTGCGCCAAAAATAAAAAGACAAAAATTCAAAATCAATAAAACACACCCGAATACAAGGTTCCTCCCGATTTTCAGTACGAATAATGATTTCAAAGAGCAAAACTTTTGAATACAAGAAAAAAACTCAAAAATACTCCAGTTTTTACATTAGATTTTCAGCAAACGTTATTTCTTCCAAAACCTGAGTCAATAATTTGAATTTTATCAAAGTGTATTTTAATCAGGTTACTCGTTTCATAGCTTCGTTCTCCTTTGCACTGAACATCTGAATCCGAATATGGGTTACAATTTATTACAAGCCCAGAGTTGATTGTTTGCCAGAAGTTGGTTCCAGTTTAGAAACAAGTGAATTGAAAAAAAAAGACTGACAGGGCTAAGTGAAAGTAGACTTTTAGGGCCGAAGAATTTTCCCCAGTTTTTAATTAGTTTTGGACAATGTAATTGCTGGAAAAAATTACTGAAAAAATGGGTCGAAAACTTTTTATTCCAAAATTTTTTTTGTATTCGACAAAAAGCCTTACTTAAACATCTCAAAATTCTGGACTATTTTACTCATTTTAAAAAATTTTTATACAGTGCGCTTATCAATATTGATATAATTTGTCAAAAGATTTTTTTAGCCCATTGTTGAAAGAAAGATATCCAAAAACTTGTAGAACTTTTCACTTTTGTAGTCAAAACTTTTGATTAATTTTTTAATGAATTCCTTTTTTGCGCTATTTTATAAGATCTAGTTTTTTGTTAACGGAACGGTAATTTAAGTTACTTTTTCTTCAAAATTTTTTTCTCTCAAAATGGATTTCCCTCAAAACAGTTTATTTTCAAATCTTGAGCCAAATTCCTTAAATTTGGTACAATCGTGATTCCACCATCATTAGCGGAGTATTCTTGGATCTATCTCGTAAAATAAAAAAAGCGTCATTTTTCTTGCGATATTTTCTAACTAATTATTACAAAAACCTAAAAATCTGGCACTTATAACACCACTGAAAAAGCGATTGAAAAGAAGAATTGCCGTTTGCTGATCAAGTTGCACAGAGGAACCCTACCATAGTAAAAAAAAATTTGTAGGGTCTCAAATTCTGCACAAATTAGGCATTATAACTGTTGTAAGCTTTTCCAATTCCTTTTTTCGCTCAATTAATGCAAAAAATTAAAAATTTCAAACCGGTTTTTCTCG